AAAATTTTAAAAAATTTTTTATTTTTTTTTTTTTTTTTTTTTTTTTTTTGTTTTTATATTTTAAATAAAATTCTTTTTAATTTATTTTTTTATTATTTAAAAAATTATTATTTTATTTCGATTTTTTTTTTTTTGTTAATTTTTAATTTTTTAAAGGTTAATATTCTCTTTTTTTTGTATTTATAATTTGTGGCTTAAAACAATTTTGATTATTTATATTTTTTTTTTATAATAGTTGTCTTATTCATAGTATATATAAAAATTTCCATTGTTTTTCCTCTTTTGTTGTCAATTTAGAAAATTTAATTCATGTTTTACCTTTTTTTTTTATATCATAAAATTGTATTTCACTTTTTTTTTTTTTTTTTTTTTTTTTTTTTTTTTATAATATTATTTTAATTTTATATGTTTAAATTGATTTGTATAAATATATTACTGATTTTTTTATTTTTAAAAAAATGTTTTAGTAAAAGAATGAAATGAAAATATATATTTAAGATATTGTTCAATATTTTTATTTTTTTTTCTAATAAATGTGTTATTTATTAAAATTGTTTATTAAAAAAAAATATTGAAAATAAAATAAAATCCATTTTATTTAATAACTAAAATTGCATGCTCAATATAATTATTATAATTTATATATATCTTTCAATTGAGTTAATCTCTTTTAAGGATTTATTAGTATATATAATACTAGTTAAAATTTAATTTAAAAAAAAAAAATTAAATATTATATAATATTTAATTTTTTTTTATTATTTAAATAATAAAATGAATGATACACACCTTTATTTGCAAAATTTTATTTGAAAAATGAAATATTTTAATCCATTTCAAAGTAAAATAGGATTCAATGAATTTTTCATATTCGATATATTCAATTATTAAAGGTACTTAAATAAAAATGCGTTAAATAAATAATAATATTCACGATACATTAATCCATATATATATATATATATATTTATTTATTTATGATATTTTGCATTTTACTTGAATTTTTAAGGAAATTAAAATGAGTATTAATAAATAAAATACATAAGAAACAAATTTTTATATTGTCTTATTTTAAATATAACAAAAAGCTTATAGTTTTTAAAAACAACCTTGTTCTATATAAGATTCAGCAACTTTTAAAAACCCAGCTATATTAGCACCTGTTTGTAAATCATATTTATTATTAGTATATTTTAAGGCATTTTCAGAAGATGATATAAATATATTTCTCATAATTTCTTTTAATTTTTCATCAACTGTTTCTCTTGTCCATTGAGAACATTGAGAATTTTGACTTATTTCAAGACCACTAATTGCAACTCCTCCTGCATTTGCGGCTTTTGCAGGGCATAAAATAATATTGTTCTTTTTAAAATAATCAATGGCTTCAATTGTTGATGGCATATTAGCACCTTCACCTACTAAAATACATCCATTTTTATGTAATGTTTTTGCGTCACTAAGGTCTATTTCATTTTCAGTTGCACAAGGGAAAGCCAGTGTGCATGGTATTCCCCATGGTTTTTCATTTGGAAAATATTTTGCTGTTGAAGAATGACCTAAATATTCTTTAATTCTTCCTTTTCTTTCTTCTTTTAATTCTATGAGAAATTTCAAATTTTCCTTATTAAATCCATTTGGTTCATATATATAACCATTACTATCACTTAAAGTTAAAACTTTGACATTTAATTGTAATAGTTTTTCTAAACAATATAAAGCTACGTTACCACTACCACTGATAACAGCTGTTTTATTACTTATAGGAACATTTAATGATTTTAAAACTTCTAGAACAAAATAAACTAAACCGTAACCCGTAGCCTCCACTCTTAAGTGTGATCCTCCCCATTTAACATTTTTTCCTGTTAATGTTCCATTAAAATTACCTACAATTTTTTTATATTGACCAAATAAATAACCAATTTCTTTTCCCCCTACACCAATATCTCCAGCAGGTACATCTGTATGAGGGCCAATATGTCTATATAATTCATTCATAAAACTTTGACAAAATTTTAAAATTTCACTATCTGATTTTCCTTTTGGATCAAAATCAGATCCACCTTTTCCTCCACCCATAGAAAGGCCTGTTAAAGAATTTTTAAATATTTGCTCGAAACCCAAAAATTTTACAATAGACAAATTTACTGATGGATGAAAACGTAATCCACCTTTGTAAGGTCCTAATAAGCTACTAAATTGTACACGAAAAGCACGATTTTTTCTTTGTATTCCATTGTCATCTAACCAACAAACTCGAAATTGTACTACTCTCTCAGGTTCTGCCAGCATTTCTATAATTGGCAAATACTTTGGTTCTTCTATAAATAGTGGCTTTAAAGAAAACAATATTTCATGAAATGCTTGTAAAAATTCTTTTTGGTTTGGATCTAACATTTTCACACGTTCATAAATATTGTTCATTTCTTCAACAATTAATGATTCATAATTTCCACTATTTTTATCTATTAATAGGAATCTTCCTGTTTTATCTCTTTTATGGTGCATTTTCGTTAAAATAAGGGTATATGAGTAAAAAATATATATTTAAAATTTTTGATCAGATAAAAGTTTAATAAACAGAAATTTCCACTTGTTAAAGGTTAGTTAAAAGAATAAAAATTTTAATATAAAATACAATATTTTAACTTATATATATGTATTTACTTAAATTAATTATAAACTGTTTAATAAAATTAATAAATAGATAATTTAAAAAATTAATTTTTTTATTTAACACATAAAGAATGTAAAAATTTTCAGAGCAACGTATTAAAAAAATTAAAATGTAACAAAAATAGAGTTTTTAATATTTAAGTTATTTATATCTATTAGAACAACTACTTATAAATGAAGAAAAATTAAAACTTAACTAAAATGTTTTATTTTTTATTTAAGAATATGTATTTTTTTTTTTTTTTAATTTTTATAAATACAAAAAAAAAAAAAAAAAATTTTTTTAATCAACTTGAAACATAATTTCTCGGATTATTTCAGTTTTGCTCATTAGCATAATATGCATGCAAATATTTCCTTTACTAAAATATATTAAACAATCCTTTATGGTAATTGAATTACATATAAATCTCTTATGTAATTTTTCTTGAAATTTTAATTTAATCTTTTTTTTTTTCTCTCTTTTTTATATTATTTTATATAAACTATTTAAAATACATAAACATTTATGCTATTCATACACCTTATCATTATTTTATTTTTTTTATTTTTGTATCTAATTATTCATAAGAAAAATTTTTTCTTAAGGTAAAATTAAGAGTGCATTGAAGGTAAGTTTAAACTAGTTAAAGAAAATTTAAGATTTAAAATTTCATTTAGCTTTAATCTCTTAGTTTATAACAAAATAAATATATTAATGAAAATTAAAAAAGTAAATTTTAAGTATTTCTAAAATATATTTTTTAAATCCATTACATAATTTTTGTTCTTTATTTTTTTTCATTTATATGAAATATATTAAAAGAGAAACTTTTATATTTAGGTAAAATAATTTAGCCTTTTTTCCCATAAGAAAAATGTATTTTTTCTTTTATAAATATAATTTAATTAATGAAAGCTTGTATATTTTCTTAATTAAAATCAAAAAAATATATATTTCCTTATGCTTTCCGAATTATTCTTAAAAAAAGAATGAATATAATAGTTCCTTTATTTTTTTTTCCATTTCTATTTCTCAAATAAATTTAAAATTAAACTTTTAATTATATAATTCTTTAAAAAAATCATTTTGATTCAAAAACAAAAAAAAAAAGAAAAAAAAATATAAAGTGTATATACAACTATTAATAATAATCTACATGTCCAATTATATTATTTTTACTGTTCTTTAAGTCATTAATTATTTTTTTTTTTTTTTTTTTTTTTAATGTTAAACTGATTCATTAAATAAAAGTATTATGGTTAAAGTTATTGAGACAAAAGAAAAAAATTTTTTTTTTAAATATTTAAGTTTTTATATGATCTTGAGAAATTAGTTGAAAACTAAATTTATAGATAAAATTTCAATGCAATAATATTTAATATACTAAGTTTTTTAAGTTATTTTATATAAAAAAAAAAAAAAAAATGAGCTCAAAAGTCTTTAATATAAATGATTTTAACAAAGATACTATCTTAATGAAAACGAAAAAATTAAAAAAATTATGCATTAATAAGGGTAATAAATTTTTTTATATTTTTTTACAACATAAAAATAATTTCAATTGTAAGTTGGATATAATATAATTTACGTTTTTTAGAGAATGTAAGTAGCTATCATATAAATGTGTTAATAGAAATATTAGAATATTTTTTTGAAAAATATGATGACTGTTTTTTATCATCTATTGTATGGGAAGTGGTTGATAAAATTAGTAATTTATAAATAATTTTTTAATTAAATATACTAATTTTATTTTCTCTTATTTTTTTTTTTCTTAATTTTTTTTATATATTTAAAAGTTATTACTCATTTAATTATGTAATATATTTAATTTTTTTTTTTTTTGTATTTTTGAAGTTATTTTGGAAAATACTATTGAGGAAAAAAAAAAAATTGACGTAGATTTAGATACATCAAAGAGATTATGTGAATTTATTTTTAGTAAACTAATTTATTATACAAATTATGAAAATGAAAACTTGGCTTATTTATTTAGTTTCAATTGTTTAAGAAGGCATTTATGTTCAATAATAAGTTCATTTTTAAATTTTAATAGTTCTAGCTTTAGGAGAAAAATTGAAACTTCATTTACAGAAGAATTGTAATATTAATCCATAGTTTATTAATAGACAAATAACTTATCATTGATATAACTTATAATAAGAAATTAATTTAAATATTCTCATATAATTTATTAGAAATAATAAAATAACACCTATATCTTTTTTTTTTTTTTAATTTTGTTAAATTTAATTAGAATAGATTTAATCAGACGAATATTTGAAAAAATAAAAATAGAAAATGATTTAGAGTTGAAAGTATCTTATACAGAGTTTTTATGGAGATCATTTAGGAGGGTAGATTTAAGCTCATTTAATATGGAGGATTTTCATATAAATAAAGAAACAATAGAGAAATTAAAAAATTTTAAAATTTTAAAATTCGATGAAGAATGTATAAATTGGTTGATGGAAGAAAATTTTATAGATAACAAATGTATCATTGAGAAAGGTTCATATATATAAGTTTCTTATCTTTTATTTTAATCCATTTAGTTTTTATTTATTATTTTTATTTATTTTTTTTTTTTATAAGGGTCATTTATGATAACTGCTAATAAAAATTATGTAACTAAAGATTTTATATGGTGTTATATAGGAAGATGTTCTATATTTATATACTATGTAATATTTAAGTAAAATACAAATAATTAAAATTTATATTAAATTGTGAAAACACAACTATTTTCAATTTTATCAAATTAGGATAATGAGGAAGAAAATGAAAAATACAAAATAGAAGTTCCTTATTATCATATAACATCAATATGTTTTAAAAATAAAAATTTGTTTACAATGGAATGTAAATCTATAGTTGATCAGACAAATATTTTTTGCCTCTGGTTATTATATATATATATTTTTAATTTTTATTTATTTTGTGACTTTATTATTATTTGATATATATATATATTTTTTTTTTTATAACTTTTTATAGGGGTGATGATATAAGAAGTTCAATTGACTATGAAATAATAAATAAGTTCACATTGTCTCTTGAAATTAAAAAAGTTTCAAAAGAAGTAAAAAAGGAGTTAAATAATCTATTAGATAAGTAAGAAAAAAAAAAAAAAAAAAAAAAAAAAAAAAGATAATAAAAAATTGATCTATGAGAAATACAGGTAAAATATATATATTTTTTTTTATAATATATGAAGAATAAATAAAAAATTAGAAACTAAAGAAAATAAAGATGAAAAGATATGTTCTCAAATCTATACTTATAATAGTGGGTACAAAAATGAAGATAAATATAAGATGACTATTACTGATGTAATATTAAAAAAAAAAAAAAAAAAAAAAAAAAAA